TTTTTTTTTTTTTTTTTTTTTTTGAATGGATGGTGGCAGCATTGTCAATTTAACTCATTACTGGTGGCTTATCCATTCAGAGGTAAGCGAGTGCCTATAAATAGCTTAACATGTTTGAATGAAGTTCATCCCAAATTCAAGGTATGTAGCAGGAAAGTTGTGTGTATTTTTGAATGGATGGTGGCAGCATTGTCAATTTAACTCATTACTGGTGGCTTATCCATTCAGAGGTAAGCGAGTGCCTATAAATAGCTTAACATGTTTGAATGAAGTTCATCCCAAATTCAAGGTATGTAGCAGGAAATACTGTTGTGTGTATTCTTGTTTCTCATTGTCCAACTCTTTCTTTCTCTGTATTCTCCTTATTCCCTTCATCCCTCAATCTCCTCTTTTCTACTGCTCGTCTATCAACTCCTCTAGCTGCCTACAAGCATGCAGATGGCAAAAAGATTGATGGACGTAGAGTGCTTGTTGATGTTGAAAGAGGACGAACGGTCAAAGGATGGCACCCCCGGAGACTTGGTGCGCATTTCTTTTTCTCAATCAAGTGTTCTTTTCTAGGCTTTGGGTGTCCCGTGCTGCTCCTGGAGGCCCAATGTCCTGTAGAGTTTGTCTCCAGCCAGCCCCAATTTCCTTGAAGTTGCTAGTAATCCAGAGGATGCTTATTAGCTGGTTTTCAGGATAGTGGCCCTCCAGGAGCAGGATTGGACACCCCTACTCTAGAGCAAAGCTCTGAAGGACAGTGGATCACCAGGGCCAGAGTTGCACACCCCTGGTAAAGATAGTGTGGTTGTGATCGCAAGTATTACTTCACGTCTTCATTGTACATTTATTTCACTGTTCAGGTGGAGGTCTTGGTGGTACAAGGAGAGGAGGGGCAGATGTCAACATCAAGCACTCTGGCAGAGACGACACTTCCCGCTATGATGACCGACCAATTGGAAGGTAAGTTGAGAGGGGCATGATTGTCTTTTTAAGTAGGTACATTTCAGTCTTCCAATCCTGACCTCTGTTGTCTCTTATCCTGCAGTGACCGCGATCGTGAACGCAGGGATCGCAGTCGGGACCGAGAGCGGGACCGTGGTGAGCGCCGCCGTTCACGATCTCGAGAGAGACGCAGACGCACCAGGTCTCGTGAGCGCGAGAAGGCCATCGTGGTTCCAGGGGAGGAGGCAGGAGGTGGCAGTAGGCGCCGAGACAGGGAACGAGACCGAGGTGTTGCTGAAGGCAGCCGAGAGAGGAGTAGAGACCAAGATAGAGAAAGAGACCGCAAGAGGAGAAGCAGGAGCAGGGATAGAAAGAGAGACCGAGAGAGAGGGAAAGGTTTGGATGGAGGAGAGGAAGGCATGGGCGGGCTAGCTGATGGCATGATGCCCGAAGGAGGAGAAAGGGGTATGGAGGACCCATTGTGTGGTGAGCCAGGACGAGGTGAGGATGGAGGGCCCGAAGGAGAGGAGAGAGGTAGGGATCGAGACAAAGACAGGGAGAGAGACCGTGACAGGAAGCGCAGCCACAGGGATAAAGATAGAGACAGAGATCGGGAAAGAAGGAGAGACAGGGATAGAGATCGTGAACACAAGCGGGACCGGGGAGATCGGGACCGTGGGGACCGTAGGGAAGACAGACACGTGTCCTCCTCAGGAGATCAGGAGGGTTTGGGTAACGGAGGTGAAGAGGGCGAAGAGCAGTTGCCGCCACAATCAGAAGAAGGTTCACAGGATGGGATGAGGATGATGATGATGGATCAGGATTCCATCCAGTCAGGAGAGGGCTATGCCTCCAATGAGAATGGATACAGGATGGAGGCCCAGGGTGATGAGTACTGAAGTGCCACCATTGTGTGAATCATCCGAGGTCCTCCAGTTGTAATGTTGATTGAATTCACAAATATCCTCAACCATAATGTAATGCCTCCACCATTTGCTTGCACTATGTCCACAGTGTGTAAGTATTATACTGTACTACCAACTGCTATCACTGAGAGAGCTTAGTGTCTCCCTGGTAAGAAGCATCCTTTGTTAAAATCAAAAGATTATGTAGTTGAACTGTGAGTTTTTTTTTTTTTGACCCCAATTATTTAATTTGTGGGGCTTTGTAGACATAAAACTTCACTAAATAGCTAGCCTTATGATGCATTTGAATTCCCTGTCTAACATCAGCTCAGTATCAAGTGACTGCACTGCTAGGAAGAGATCTCTTGACTGAGGCACTGTATTTTATTACAGAGTAGTTTATTCAGTAAGGGATGGGTAACTGTCATGATTGGGGTTGTTTAGTACTGTTATGTCCATTTGCATAGATGTTTGTTGATTTACAAGAGTAATTGGATATTGCTTTGTAATGTTATCTGAACAACGTTACTTTTATATCTGCACCCCCCAATTTCTCTGCAGTTTTATTTTTTCTCTTTTGTCTTGTACATTTTGTTTCATATTTGGTTCAATATGTGGATCGTTTGCAAATTGTACAGTGGCGCCTAATTTTACTATAGTAACAAAGGCAGCAAACATTGACACAGATGTGTTTTTTTTAAAATACGAATGTCTGCAATGGGTTCACAAATCGCTCTTAATTTGGGCGGCCGGGATGGAAGTTCATGTCTGAAATCAGTGGAGTGTTTCGATCCTCACACCAACAAATGGAGCAGCTGTGCTCCCATGTCTAAACGCAGAGGCGGG